CAATAACAACCCCAAGTACCCCCATACACCCCCCAAACACCCACAAACCGCCCCCAACACCCTCCTATATCCCCCTATACACCGCTCCCCCAAACCCCCCCATCCCCAAAAAAACAGTGGATTTGGGCTGTAGTACTCAGCAAGCGCAGTACAGCTTCCAACTCAGATCTGAAAAACAATTAGTGGATGGTTGTTTCGGCCCTGCTGGTCGGCGGTCGGCAGGGATGCAACCACGGTAGAGAAATGAAACTGAAAAAAAATATCCCCAAATGCACTTTTCAGTGCTTGGGGGATTAACTGTCTCTCTCTCTCTCCCTCTCTCTCTCTCTCTCTCACACACACACACACACACACACACACACACGCACACACACACACACACACACACGGACACACACATATACAGAAAGCTGGAATACGAATCGCGACAGGTCAATGAAATACTAAGTACTTTGCGGGTCACAAGACGATTTACACCATCCCTAGAGTGTGAAGAATCCCCACAACAATGCCACCACGAGCGTTATATGGCGAAGGAGGAGCATAGACTCAGGATGCAGGCCATCAAGATCACAACTGAAGATGCACACAGGTAATCGTCAGGAAAAAGCAATTCCTGAAAACCGACACGACATTCACTTCAAAAAAAAAAAAGGAGATTCACTCGATCCCTGCAATGCCTGTGACCATATCTACAGATGTGGACAAGCAAATACCATGAAGGAAACAAGCAACGTAAATGGAGACAAGACGGAAATAAAAACTCAACATTGCCAATCTGTTGGAGACATGACACAAGGAACACTGGCAAACAGCCTGCCACTCACAGTTTCGTGGAGGAGATAAGTTCATTGCAGCTAGCAAAACGTGTTGTGCAGACTCGAGTGACAGTCAGACAGCATATTTAATACATACAGAACAATGCTGTAGCCTCACCTTAAGTACAGTCGCACTGAGAAAGCTTGCCTTCCGGACATTCTTTATCTGTGAAGCAACACAGATCAAAGCATCAGCCCCCATCCTCCTCTCTTCTCCATTCATTATAATTACATGAAATCCAGTTATTGGCAAAGACAGCAGAATCCTGAGTGGAGCACAAGCATCCTTCACCAGACATTGCAAATCCATCAACATTCACCAGCTACTGTACATCCAACAACAACAGTGACAACAGCAGAGAGAGCTAAAATAATCAAGCCTGGCCACAGTTCCATCAAGTGTTCACCACCAGTATGAGCCCACCAGGCATGAGGCCCTCGGCCCTGGATGAAACAGGCCCATGCTCCTGCTGAAAAATAGCAGTGCCCGCCCTAATTGAAGTAGGGTCTCTGAAAGCATGACGCGGTGTAAGGCCAAGCTGCCGATGAGAGCAAAGAGGACGCACGGGTTGGTTGCTGCATGCAGCATCCTGCTACCAAATGGTAGTCCCGGTCCGTTGCAAGATGCTGAGGCCCAGAATGTTCTGAGGCCTAGGTCACATTCTGGAAGGGCCCTGGGTGCAGCTACTCGGACACAGGCTGAGCAGTCCAGATGCTGCCTTGACCAGCCAGCCAGCTTCAGCACAAAAGGAAGTGCTGCCAGGCACTTCCTCATTCTTGCTGGCTGGCTGGACATGGAAGCGCTGCTGGATCGCAGGCTGCTTGGCGCTGGAGCACTGGTTGAGGACGCTGCATGGGTGCCGTGTGTACATGGGCAGCCATAGCTGGGCTTCCTGCGCCCAAGCCGAGATGTGGCGGGGAGGTCCTTGGGTGAGGGGTGCTGTGGCATACTGTGCAGCCACACGGGCCCTGCAGGGCCCGTCCCGGAAACTTCCAGGCTCTTGCCTGGAAGCTTCCTTCTGACAGGGCCTACAGGCCCCAGCCTGTTTCCCTACAGGAAAACTTCCAGGCTCTTGCCTGGAAGCTTCCTTCTGACAGGGCCTACAGGCCCCAGCCTGTTTACCTACAGGGAAACTTCAGGGAACTTCCAGGCTCTTGCCTGGAAGCTTCCGCAGGGTCTAGGCCAGGGAGGCATTGGCACGGCCAGCCTCCTGCACGGGCCAGCACTATAAAGGACTGGCCCGCCCTGCAGGAAAAGGTCAGTAGGCAGAGGTAGTCTTCTGGATTCGTCCGCAGCACTCAGGAGGAGCGCTGCAGTAGTCTTCAGCGCTAGGCAGTAGTGGTAGCGCAAGCTGTAGCCTTCGGCGCTGGGCGCCATAGCTGTAGCTGTAGTCTTCAGCGCTGGGCGCTGGTAGGTAGTATATCGCAGAGTGGGAGAGAGACTGGCGGAGGCCAGTGTTACTTACCTGTGGCGCCATCGCTCCAGCTCCATCATCGCGGTACCTGCATCAAGGCGCCAACTTCACAGGTTAGTACTGGACACAGAGAGAGAGAGAGAGTTCTTCTTCTTCCTCTTCTAAGTCCACCTTCTCTTCTCACCCTCTCGCCACCTGACTTCTCCGACTACGACAGAGAGAGACAGAGTTGTGACTGGAGACTTGACGACATTGGATCCAGACTTG